AAAGCAATCATAAGATGAAATTTAGATAGGTGTTCTTCTATGTGTTTAATTTATAAAAATATTATATTATATATTATATTATAAACTGCATAGGAGAGCCCAGCAAGATAATATTGAAACATTTAATATAAATTTGATCTTTAGGTTGCTTTTAAGACTGAAAACACCATTGAAAATTTTTTAAAAAACAATAAAACTAAATCTCGAAAAACTCAAAAATCCAGAGTCCTCAAGTTGAAATATGGATCATGTCCCCAAAATTTATATCGGATAAACAAGTAGAACATAACATACATAACCAGCGTATAAACTATGTCAGTCATTTAAATCCAGAAATGCACGACTTTGACGATAATTTTTATATATTACGTAATGGTACAAAAAACAAAAATCTAAATTCGTTGGAAGCTATAGAGATTAGACATTGCATTTAAATGCACCTCCGTTGTTAAATGTAAATATATAATTCTAGTAATAAAGTAAGTAAAGTAATAAATAACTGAAAATCTGAACTTTTTTTGTTTTAATTTAATTGTTTTAAATGGATTTTCATCAAATGAAAGCTACCTCAGTTCAATTATTTTAATAAAGCTCAAATACTGCAGACTTAATTTTTAAAAATAATATTTATTTTCGAGTGCCTTAATAGTTCCAATACAATATATTCAGAATAAAATGTCTATAAGAACTAAAATGTAATAATTTATCAAATTTCATAAAAATAAATACTTGTAGCAATTTTGTTAATAAATGAAAAGATCTAAAAATATTCATTATTTATATGTGTATATTAGTTTACGGTTGGCCATTTATATTATTCATGTTTCTACGAATGTGATTAATAACTGGTAGCGCCACTGTCCAGCGTCCCTAAACGATTCTTTGTTTTGCAGCGTTGAAATTGTGTGATTCTAATTATCTCTAAAAGGATAACTGCGTTTTTCACAATGTGGTTTACAATTTTAATTGCCCTTTGATGTTTTAATTATTGTCATTTGTGACGGCTGCCCAGAGTGCAGTTTTCCGGAAAATTTACGGCTCCGACGACTGAAAATAAAACGTGCTAACTTATATTTATGCTCAATGTTATATTTTTCGACTAAGCAACCCCCGACATTTCCGAAAAGTAACGTGCCTTTGATTCTGTGTAAATTGGGAGATATCTAGGCGAATTCTTCTATTCTATTGCATCGCGTTTGCATATATTAGCAACTCCGTATCAATTCCAACCTTCGCCTTGGCATTTGGGCGTTTTTCGTTTGTGTCTGAATCCGTTTATACTATGCTGGACGATTCACCTTTAACATTTCCATTAATTTCTTCGGCTATATAGTTTTTTGTAAATTGCGTGACCAACCCCACTTCGATGTCACGCTTGTTTACAATTGGGACTAGCATTATTCGTTTGAACTAGCAGTTTTCCTACCACGAGAGAAACACGAGAAACGTTTATCATTTATTACGCGTATTCGAGGAAAGCAGTATTATTCACTGCTAATCTATAAGGTGTCACCCGGAAGTACTATTATGAAAAATCTTATTCCGATTATAATGATTATGATATATATATTTTTCTCTCCATTGTTTTCCACACGTTCGCATGCGTTATAATATGTGTAGATATTTTTCTCTTATATGGAAATAGTTATTGTTTCTAAATTTGATAATTATTGAGGCAGGTTTTTACGAACAACTGAAAGAGAGTAAAAAACTTACTGTCAAATATTTTTTTATTATATATTTATTAATATTTGTACAAATTAATTATATTCTTGTCATAAATTATTGAAAAAAATAAATTTTAATTGTTAATAATAAATTTAAACCTTTCAAAGTTGTGCTTTTATTTACCGTTTTTTTTTAAATTATAAATGCCACGAGCATTCCAATCCTTGTGAATAACCCTAATGATATGGCATCCAAAGAATAGTCAACAAATCTACTTTTAAAGTTTGCTGTTTATACAGGTTCTTTGTATAAGCAACTAATTCACAATATATCTCATTCTAAATGCATGCGATTTACATTGCGAAATTTTAAAAGTATTTATATTTTTTTAAATATCGATTAATTATTATTAATATTTTTATAAAATTATTATTGCCTGGCTGCAGTAAATTGTTCGTCCTGACGTAAATTTTCAATGATATATCTAATCTAATCTAATAGACCTATTTTGTCCAAAACGCGTATAGTAAATTTCCATGAATAAAAATGAATAAAAAATTAAGTAACATTTACAGACTTATCGCTCTAACTAGTGATTTGAGAAAAGTATACTGGAAAAATGTATGGAAATTACTGGATATCTCAATAGACACAAGTTTGTCTCTGAACACCAATATGCAAACTCAGTATCAAATAGATCTCAGCTTGGTGTTCCGCAGAGCACTGCACTTGGCCCAGTTCTATTTAACGTTTATGTCGATGAGATCTTTAGTCCCTTCCCGGTTTCTCAATGACGAAGGTCAATGAGTCTACCATTACCGACATAACTATTTATAACTTTGACTCTCAAAACTGCCCTCACTTCAATTGTACTCTTAAAATAAAAAAAAACAATAAAATTAAATATTTTAGAGTCAATATAATTCAGTATAAATCAATATAATTAGAAAATCAATCAATAAATGTTATTACCTTAGACAGGTTATCACTATGACTCTTTGGTGGAATCAATGCTTAACTACTAACCATAAGAAATATTCAATTTAAGAACAAACCATTTCACAAAATAAAAAAGAAGCTGCAGTGGCTAATAAATGATGAAATAACTTGATTCTGTGCCTAATATGAATTGTGTAACTCTGGATATCGTTTTCTATTCTATTTTTACATTCATCTTTATAACCCATGTCATTTGTGTCATACAGTTGATACCCTTTAATTAATTTAATAATAAATACGAGCCGCGATTCCTGTTAAACTGATTTTATACTTATAGTTGAAATTTTGCAGCGGTTTAAAAAAAACGTTTTCGCACCTCGTAGAGCGCGGAACGCGTTGTCGTACGGTACATTGACAGTGGTCAATGACAGAACAATATTTTATATTCCTATTAATATTCGAGAAGTGCGTTCCGCATACACTTTGGCGGCCTTGGCGAGCAATGCGAATGCAAATATATAGTTTCATGCCAAAGACAAACAATTATGGTTCTCCGGCTACGATCGCATAATAATTTGTAGTTTATTGGAAGATGTTAATTAGACGTATTAATCCAGGGTTAATGATTATTTCATATTATAATTGGGAAGCAATCGGAACGGATGTTTCGGATAGTGATGCGGTATTTACCTATACTTCGACCAAAATTATAGTGCTTTTTTTTGCCTACTGTTTATTACTCCAAAACTGCAGCCCCTTATAGAACACCCGGCCGAACAGACTCTTACCCATAACCATTACAGGTCCGTCCTAGGAATTTATTTACCCATACTATCCAGCGGAATATAAGTATGTTTTCAGTCTTCTTCGTCGAGCATTTCTTGAAACATGTACATAAAAAAATTAGTACAAAGTAACAATTTATTACGTTCTATGTCACTCGTTTTTATTGCTGCTCCTACTTCTCCTTCTAAATTTCTTATAACACTCAAAACAATTTGTTTAGCATACGAAGATAAATGGATCCATCTTTTTATTTGCTGACGTAGTTCGTCTTCTAAATTGTCATTAGGTTCGACTGTCATCTCCACTTCGTTTTCAAATTGTGCATACTTTTCCATGCCTTCTTCTAACAGAGGAACATCTGCTTCATTCCACGGTCTCCACATTTTGAGAGTGTTAAAAAAGAGAAATCTTCAAAAAATGTTTAATTGTAAGATTCTAGTAAATATTTATCTGTTTCTTATGACGTACCTTTATCTACCGCGAACATAATATATAGACTGTTGTCTGACTGAATAAGAATGTTATTAATCGATAGGCAAACAAGACAGAAATGATTATTTTTAAACTTCCCTTTAAAATAAAAAGAGTACAGATACTTACCCTTACCCTTTGAACTATCTAGTGAAAAAGCCTCGCAGTGTCAAAGGTCGAGAATCAGGTACATAAATACGTACTGTATGGATCACGGTCAAATACCTCCGTAATATGTAGGAACATATTGTAATTTAGATTAAATTCTTAACCTGATGTTAAAATAAACGCTTCTGCTTATTCGAAAATATCCCGCAGCATCAATGCTTAACCAAATTTAAAACGGTCCATTTACGTTTCAAATAAAAAATTGAAGTTTCTACAAATATTCGTTACGGTCCATCTCAGGGAAGAAGTACTTAATGCAGAATAAATTTCTGTTGGGATGGATTTTACCACGGTCCTGCGAAGGTCTGCAGTTAAGGTACTGTAAAATACATGAAAGCAATAAATGCACTATATTTTTGGTTGTCCAATACTTACTCCTGCAAATTATTTCGGGTACTACCCTGTCAAGCGACTAATATCTTGCCTTGCCTTTAAATTGTAATCCAATGAAACATTTCTAGATATAATATACAGGGTGTTTCATTCAAATAGAACCCGGAAAAACTTAAATTTTTCAAAGAAAAATCCACAGGCTACTGCCAATCTGGATTCCTCCTGCGTTTCACTGTCAGTTAAGCTCTGAAGAAGCCAACAGGTTGACTGGCGAAACGTCAGGATGTTCGATTTATCAACAACAGGAGGAATTCAGACGATCTGGAGTGTGGAGAAACCTTGGCCCAAGTTTAACATCAAATACTTAAATACAAATACTCTCTCATCGAGACAGAGTTTTTTATTTTGGGTAGTCAAAAATTATTGGAGCCCATTTTTTTGACACCAAAAGAACAGTTGAAACACTTCATTTAATAATTTTAGAAGGTAAAAAAAGTGATACGTGGTTATTTTAGGGGGTATTCATTTAAAATATTCAAATATCATTTGCAAGGGCTATGTTACAGTATTATTATTAATATTCTTCCTTTGCATGGTATCAAATTGTTGATTTATTTTTTCATTTTCTAATTTAGTATCGAATAGAAGGACACGTGGAGGAAGTTTTAGGAAAGGTATGTCACGAACGCTACAAAAACCACAGCACGCATTAAAATCTAGTGTTAGTATACTATAGCTTACCTAGTCACTTTTAGTTCTGTTTTGCACTTGTAAATAACTCATATTTTGTTATGCAGGAGGTCAATTTTTTAATTTTTTTAACTTACCTATAAACTAGAATATTTGAAGCAACAATTTTAAATTGTTTTTATTTTTCTTTATTATAATTAATTGTGACAATTAATTTCGTTTGCTTGTTTTAAAGGCTTAGGGCACATTTTTGCCATATAGGGAAAAATATACGTATAGTAAAAGTACTCTTTTCCTTTGAAAGATCAGCATCAAAAATATTAAAAAATTCAAAACTAGTTACGTATGTAGCACGTTACAAAAGAAACCTGTACATTTTGCTTGTAATTGACATTCTTCAAAAATGTACATTGGATATTTTTAATCTTTAAACAGGTGAACGCGAACGGGAACTCCAAACTGTAAGACTGATTAAATTTGGACGCCATGTAATTTCCTAGCTTCGTATTCGCGGACAGTTCCGTTGTATAAACATGAGCATAGTAGCAAAATATCCGTGGCGACTATGCAAATACGGTCCATAAATTATACTTTCAAAAATCACTCGAAACTCGTAGTTTTTTTTTGTTTTCTTAAAACAAATACCGTAGTAACACTGACCTTGGTACTGCTTTCGCGTGAGTCAGCGCAGGTAAACCGAACTTAGTCATTCATATTTCAGAGAATTTCTCGTCTTTAATAGGAAAAGCGAGTGGGCGACTTTTGGGAACTATTCCTGTGCATTTCGTTCATTGAATCACACCCGTCAAATGCCGCTATCGGTTGAACCTAGCGGGAGGTCAAGACAAACCCAAGCCAGTGTGTCGGAAAGTAATACGTGACTCATTCGGAAGTTGTTAACATGTAAATTGCATGTCATTTAGGTCCGTTAAAATTAATATCGATCTTTTTCCGCACACGTTTTTATTCACTATTGATTCGTTTATCATATATCTTATGTGAAAATAAACGAAAAAGAAAAAAAAATGCAAAGAAAATATAAGATTTATATAAAATATAATTTTTTTTTATTATGGTGACGTAGGAGAAAAATTCAGCGATTTCGTGAATTGTTCTTAGCTATTATTTTTGCGAAATAAGAGAATTGGGTATATTTTAATTTTTTTGTGTTATACGAAATAAAAAGTACCACCATCCTTTTAAATCTGAAAGCTATTAATTTGAAAACCACCAAACTAAATTACGATACTCACAATATAAATCTGGCTTTTGCATATATTAAGTTATTTTCACACGTAAATTATCAAAAGAAAATTTACGGTCCATCGCAGTAAAAACTTTTTTTTTTCTCAAGGTCACTTTCCTAGCAACCAGCGAAAGCTGCCTCATACTCCTCTCTCCTCCTCAACCCATCTCCTCCCTGATCCTTTGAAACCCGTTTCGAACCTGAGGCCTGCCCCGTTGCTGTTCAAGCCTTTTTGGTTACTACAAAAAAGAAATTTGAACTGTGGCGACCTCTGGTTGGTTGATGGTACTCAGGGTGGCGATAAGGCGGCTGGGGGAGGGGGAGTTGGATTTAAACGAGCCAGTTTTTATTACTATAGACCTTTCTGAGAATTAACATGTAAAAATGACGACATTTGCAACAAAAGGATTGATACGGGCGTCACGTTGTTCGTGAAACTCGCGGGTTTACTACATATTTAAAAAAATAGTCGATAAGCGACCGGATACCAAATCCGTATACCGACAATCGCGTAATTGATTTTTATCACGCAATTAATACGAAAAATGTAAAGGAACAATGGCGAGCGATATAATTTTGCGGGACAAAAGTCAAACTGCCTTTAAATTGATACCCACGTAACGGCGCGTTTTTCGATTTATATGTTTTATAGGTGCGTGGGGACTTCTAGGTAGCGGAGGCTAATACGGTACTTTGTACAAATGATGTGTCGAAAATGTTTTTCTACACGCTGAATGAATACATCGGCGATCGCCATCGGCCTTGGAGCTTTGTACCAGCCACCAAAAAGTACTAGTTTCGGTGGTATTATTTAAACCCGAAGTATAATAGGCACGCGCGGCGCCATTTTTAAGGGCATCGATGCGAATAACGTTTTTCTCCACCTTGTCGAATTATCTCACATTTTTTCTTGCAGCCATTATAAACACCCGTTTAAAATTAACGCACAAGCAATTGCGTCTTTGTTTTCGCAGTCTTCAAGTAATTTACAATTAATAAATTCAATCATGCGTTGTACCTCCTCAAGCTCTTATAACTGCGTGCATTCGCCGTGCTAAGCTTGTTAAAAAGTTTTGGATGATTGCTGAGTTCTTGTAGGTTAATTGGGGCGGGTACATGATGCCGAACTATTTTTTTTAGAACATCCCAAAGGTGCTCCATTGGATTTAAATCTGTGCTGCGTGGTGTCCACTCCAAGACCTGCATGTTGATTTTATTTAAGTAATGTCTTATAATAATAATAACATCTCTATTATCCCACATATTTAGAGTATAATCAGTGTATTATGGATTTCGTCAAGTAAGTTAATATAGACCATGGAAATGAGGCAGAAAATTACATTAAAAATTTATATAATAAAAATATATGACAGAACACAACAATACAGTGATGACAAACATTAATAGGTAGAAATATTCCTTTAAATTATAAAAACAGTTTTCTGGGAGGAAAAAATTTAGTCTTTATTTAAAAATGGTTACATTACTACTGCTCTATAGCTCTGGGGACAGTCTATTGTAGACTCTAATACCGGTGTTCGTGAAATATTTTTTTGAAAATTCTAGTCTATTTTTTTTTATGGAGAAACAGTCTTTGTTATGTTTATTTTAGTCGTGGAAATCTCCGTTTTTTTGTAAACAAACATAAACAAACTTGTAATATGTATATATACGCTAAAGGCAGTATTTTAAACTCCCGGAAGAGAGACTTGCGCGAACTCTCCAGCAACACACCTCAGGACTTGGGATCTAAAAATAAATGTCAGCTCGGTGTATGCCTCGGAATATTTTTGAACCGCTACCAAATCGCTCCTTTGGTGAGATAGTACATTCATAAAAACTTTATTCAGGTTTGCGCCATGTTTTATGATGACCATCTTGGGTAAGGCTCGCTCGAGCATCTGCAAGACTCTCTTCCAGTCAGCGAATTTTAATCTGGGTGATCTGTGTTCTGCAGAAAGTAGCAGTGTAGTACGCCTTCTACTAGCCTATCTAAATTATTTTAATCTTCTCCTGACGGTTAAGGCAGAAATAATGACATTTGTAGCAGATATGCCTATTATCGGAGAAAACGTTCATCAATTTGACTTGTGTTCTATATGTGTTGAAAAACAGTCCAAAACTAACAAAAATTAACATAAGCCGACTATGATTTCTAACAGTAACTGCTAATATTTAGAGAATAGATGAGATAGAAGAGATCAATACATATAAGTTAGAAAATATTGGTGTAAATTTTGAACAGGAGTTTTTTTCTGTAAAATTTATATTTTTCGGCTGATATTCTTTTCTTTTATTAAGCATTAAAAATGTCCCCTGTTATCCCTTAATATGTATTCTTTTACATTGCCAAAATGTCCAATTTTTGAACTACTGGATCGGCAAACCAAAAATATATTTTTTATTAGTATATTAGTATATTAATTTTAGAATTGAGATATTTAATAGTGCATTTTGCAACCAGTTTGATAAAGGCCAATTTAGTCACGAGGTTGCCTAGCGAGTGTTTAAAAAACGAGTAACTGAAGAATTTTATCAACGACAATCATTTTTTGTAGGTATCTACCGAAAATATCGCCAAACCCGTAGCCAAAATGGCGGAAACTTCCGAAATGGCTCCCTTGGGTTTATTAGAGACATATTTGATGCTCTAAAATACTAATCAGATGTGTGGAAGGTGACGCTTTAAAATATTGCTTTATTTAACAGTGTCGCCAACCCATTCGAGCATTTCCCGCGCTTTAGTCACGGGAGCGATAGCCGCATAGGTTTGCCTTAGATAGTTCTGATGATTTTCAATGTGCTGTGCATTCACGTTGCTGTTTCGTGGCATCAAAATAATAAAATTATAATAACGGTTTTCATTGGTAGTCTACATACATTGTGTCTAATATTTTTTATTCTAGTCACTAAAATAGAATACTATAATTGAATAATAGAATAGGATGTTTAAATTATGAATAGTGCTTGAATACAGTTTTTGATAAGTCTTTATATTTAGAGATTGTTATTCCATTTTAAAGGAGTACTCAAAAAAAAAACTCAAATCTGTCACGTTGATGACAAAAATGGTGAACGAATAGGTGGCTGTAGCTTAAAGAGAGGTAAAAAAGTGAAATTAAAGAACCTGGTTAGTTTTGGTCAGAGGTGGGTTGTCCAAATATTTTGTCTTTTGATTACCAACACTGATTTTCGAAACTTTAACCTTTTTTTTATTCGATAGAACCTTTAACGAATGGACTATTTTTTAAGCCATCAACGATAAATACATGCATGGAACAATTCAGCAATACAATAGTGATAATTTCGAAACGGCTCGTACCTACCGGTCGGACAACAAACTGTTTAAAATGCACGTAGGCTCCTCTAATGGAGTTGAGGATCTGCTACACCCAAAATAATATTCGACAACCTGTCAATTTCACTTTCGAAAAACAATGGGAGGTGCGGCCGGTATATTTTTAAGAGTACCTTAACCCCTATATGCTCTTATACGAGGTTGTTTTAAAGTTTGACAACTTTCGCGTTTTCGAAGTACAAGGGTACGACGTGGCAGCTTGGGTAAATATTTTTCAGTGTAGCAACCGGGGTGTATCTAGAACTACGTTATCAGCGACGTACAGTGAAATATTTTTATCGGCAAACACCGATCCGGATTTTCCTTTGTTTGTTGTATTGTAGTTTATAGTTTGTATAGAATGTAGATAAGATAGATTAGGCTGACCTAACCTTGGATTATTTTCGTTGCTTGGTATTCGGTAGTAGATATTTGTTACAATTTGTCCGAAATAATGCGGAAAAAAAAATCCATAATCTTTGGATAAAGTTCAGAAACTTTGGAGGATTTTGTTGTAATATGTTCTTGTTTTCAGTTATATCTGTCACAATACGGTTACTTGGGACCGGTCAAAGGAAATTCGGGTCAATTGCTAGACGAAAACCATTACCGGAAAGCGATCGAAGATTTCCAAAGTTTTGCCGGTTTGGAAGTGACAGGTAAACAACACCAACGCTTAACCAATCCGGATTCGCGGGTAAAATAAATATAAATGTAAGCAAAAATGGGTTACCGCTTCCTTTGTGGCATCGATATTAGCTTGCCGTAAACGCGTTCAATGAAAAATTGTTCGTCCTTTGGACGCGAGGTGCAATAAGTGGTATTTTAAAAACTGCGAAGGTTGTTACGTTCGTAATTCTGTATTTTTATTATGTTTCGCGTAATAACGAGCACGTTGGTTCCCAACATTTGAACACGATAAATCCGTTTCCCAATCCAATCCAATTTTGCTCTTAGTTTGTCCTTATTAGAAGTTCTGGAGAACAAAAAACGTTTTTTTTTCACGCATCTCCAGCGTTGACAATTCCACCGCTTTATAAAAGCTTAATATTTTTTTGAGTAAGTGACCTACCTATTTTAAAAATTTAGGGGTTTTAGCTAATACATTTTTTTGAATGAGCAATATGTGACTGTTATGTGGTGGTTAATAACACTAAAGGTTATTTTAATAATATATATATATATATATATATATATATATATATATATATATATATATATATATATATATATATATATATATATATATATATATATATATATATATATATATATATATATATATATATATATATATATATACTTTATATGTGTTTGCTGATGCCAAATAGTTTTCAAGACGACAAATATATATGGTTCAATTAAAAAAAAAAAGAGGTTTTACTGTTATTTTACTGTTAGAGGTTTTTTTTAGAAATGTGAATTTTTGGGACACTCTTTATGACATATATTACCTAATCCCTGCTAAATTTTGAAATAGCTATCTCACTTACGCAAGTAGATATTAAACCTGAATAAAATTCTTTTTTCTGCAAAAAAAAAATTGAATTATTTTTTTTATTACTAAAAAGATATAGACATAGAAAAATATAAACAAAAGTTAAAAATGTACTAACCCAGTATACTATAAACCTTTTAAAATCTACCTTATTTGATCTAGCAGTATAGTCTTCCTCAATCTTCATCGTGTGGGTTCCTCAATAAAACTTGGACGATGTTATTACCTGTTATTTGGTAAAGCGGTAAAGCAGCAAATTTATTTTTATTTGAGTGACACGGCAGGAGTGGGCTAGGTGTAAATTTCTTGAGTGTTGACCATTTGTGGTCGTATTGAATACTCGTTTTTATTGTGTCTACTTAAAAAAGCGCCAATATCGTAAGTAAGGGATATTATTGATATTTTAGAGTTGAAGAAAAGTAGTGATTTTGAAGCTCACCGTATAGACAATAGTGATCAGGACCTAATTAGAAGGAAAATATATTATCTTTATCACAGCTAGGTTCCTACTTTGGATAAATTGAAAAAGAAGCTAGAAGAAGATGAAACCAATAATGAGCCTTGCCACCCTCCATAAAATTGTTTGTAAAGTAGAATTTAAGTACCGCAAAATAGACAAAAAGCAAGTAGTAATGGAATCACAGAGATTACAATTTAGATTAGACGATAGATCTATAATTTACCTTCATTAAATATGGTTCGATACACACGACACTGTATCCAAAGGATGGGTTGATTTTACTCAAAACTGTCTACCTTCAGTAAAAGAAAAACGAAAAAAAAGATTCGGACTTGGATTATCATGAGGATACAAGTGCCGAACTTTTTAACAATTGGTTTCAAAACACTCTTTTGAAAAATATTCGCAATAAAAATGTTATTGTGTATTATCATACCTGTCTGCTACGCAAAGCACCAGCCTCATCAAGTTCAAAAACTGAAAACATGCTGGACACGCTGTTTTACGTCTTCTTCCATATCATTGCATGTTTAACCCCGTAGACCATTTCTTACGACTCTAAATAAACAAAAAAAAAATTATCACCAAAACCTTTGATAACTATCGGACCCGAGTATTATTGCCGCCGGCAAGTAACTTCCATAATTGCGACCAAAAGCCAGCATGATGAAGATTGAGACGGATTATAACTGGAAATGTGGTACAAAGTAATATGAGAAACTAATTTCCTTGTAACTTTGGATTTTTACTTAAAATGTAATTTTGGGTTGAGACTGATCGAATTAATCTCGTTTGTTGATCTTCTGTCCTGAATTGCTACTATAAGCAGTAAGAACAAGTTGAAATATATTTATAAATATCGATAAAATCTAACAACTGAATAAAAACGTAATTGTTATTTTATACACACCTGCTATATATATTATGTAATCTGATTAGAAACGTCAGCGCGTTAAACATTATAAATCAAAATGAAAAAGATATTTGGCTTGAAATTTTAACTATTAAAAATATAAAAATGTTCACGTACCTAACCTTATTTTAATTGAACAAAATTGTTTAACATACGTCACCACGTACTATTTGAACAAAAACCGTCACCTATATGCTGGGAATTTTATTTTATCTATTATAATTAGGTTTATGTGCACACCAAAATTACCAATGTAACGGGTTAAGGCTGCCGTACCTGCATCACAGGATGTACACTTATCTACATTTGTGAACAACGTTATTAAGTACTACACGTTAGAACAAATAAATTATAACGTGCTTTGTGTTTTAGGGGAACTAGATGACGACACCAAAGAAGTTATGTCACTCCCAAGATGCGGGGTGAAAGATAAAGTCGGCACCGGCGACAACCGTGCCAAACGGTACGCACTACAGGGTAAGTTGATCTAACCAACCAAACAAACGTTCGCTCGTCAAGATTCAAAGCAGCAAGTTTGAAAATGTCTAGTTAGCGTCATATAGAGCACTATGGTGTATAGTTACCTTACCAAGGCAACTATAGCTGCACTAGCGGTCGTTCTATTAGGCGACATAAGTCACGACTTGAAGAAGACCATGAAATTCTCGGATCAACTGTCGAGTCTACTGGAATATGGTCCGCTAAAAAAAATCGAAAAGTCGACACACCTTTGGGTAAAAAAAATTATTTCAGCATGAAAAAACAGGTATTTAACAAACAATTGACGTTTTGGTTCGAACAGTGGAATTCAATGGACCAAATCTCCTGCAACCGTCCAGCTAGGCAAACGATTTTCAATTTGCTTGTTACGGTCGAATGTTTAGGTGAAACTATTATCATTATTATCGACTGCGATAATGTAACGTTTTTTGCTCATAACGACAATTATTAGTTGAGGAAAATATTTTCAAAGCACATCATCGGCTCGGTGACTCACAATCCCGAAACAAAGACTCCACAATAAATAAGTTAATATTATTTATTGGACGTGTCTTGCGGTTTAAAATTTGTTTATAATTCACCGTAATTGCTTATTGCAATGGTTGTTTCGATTTGTTAATTGTTTTCCTTATAACCAAAAAAAAGCATCTGCGCGTGTATACCATAGACGAGCACTAACGCAAATACAGGGTGATTCGTCAACTTTAATATATAATACTTACTTCACGTCACATTCTAGTTCTGCCTGGTAGATTTTGATGGGCCGCCGTTGGGTTATAAGTTAGAGAAACGAGATTTTCAATTAAATTGCTACCTTGACCAAGTAGATAAAATAATTTTGTTATATATAAAACGTTATGGTGATGTTTATGGTTATACGTGTAAAGAAATTACTTATGGATGAACAATTACAAAATGTAGCGGTATAATGGTCAAAAATCAAGTCTACGCAAATGATTCATTGAGCCCATGGGGTGGATTTTCTTAAAACTGAGAATGGCCGAATTGTTGCTTACATTTGTGATTTATTATTTTCTTGAATTAATTTCCGCGATAGATAGTCTTCCTTTCAAATATTTGTATGGGATTAGTGATATTGTTCTTAGTGTAAGAGGTCAATTTCCATATACCATTCATAGCCATTGAACAAAAAATGTTTGCTTTTTTCTTAAAAAAGTTTATCTAAGGGATAGCGAAAGTAACCAAGAAAAAATGGCAATCGGTGTTGGACAAATGATAATATAAAAGATATTATGAATCCATGATAACCGCTGGGAAAACTTTGTGTTAATGGGTTTTGCCAATTTTTCAACAATAAAGATAATAATAAATAAATCAGTTGATGGCTACTTATATTAGTTTTTTTATAATAATGTATTATATATATATATATATATATATATATATATATATATATATATATATATATATATATATATATATATATATATATATATATTATTCATGACTTTTAAAACATTTTGAATCTAAAGTTTTTTTTTTCAAAAAAACTTCCACAGGTTAGTGTAATACTTTTTACAAAACTTCTGCCGCAAGAAAAAACGACGCAGGAAGAATCCAGAAGTTTTGTAAAAAGTATTTGAATCTAAAGATAATTGAATTAATAAATAAATCAATTTTTGAAAATTTGCGTTTACCTGTCAAAATTGAATGCTTTGTTAAATATTAATTAGCTTATTTTTGAAATAACCCAACAATTTTATTGGAAAAAAATTGTCTGATGAATTTAAATTTTTTCACATTTTTCCAAGCTCGTTTTCTTTATATAAGCCCTAATTTGAAGAGAAAGGAATTAAACTATTTAGATGGACTAGACTGAATACTAAATAAAGCGTCTTTCTTTAAATTTATCTGAAATATTTGATTCCAAACAAATTGTTAAAAAATAAATAAAAATTTCTCTTCATTTTGACGCTTTCAAAAAGACACCTCTTTAGTTTTGGCAACTCAGAGACTCTTCCTTTATATATCAACTGGAAAATGTACAAACTTGTGAAAATGGTGCGAATTTTCAGGAAGCAGGTGGAAAGTGAAAAATCTGAGCTACAAAATCGCCAAATATCCACCGAAACTAAAACGCAGGGACGTCGACGATGAAATCCAACGTGCCTTCAACGTGTGGTCGGAATACACGGACCTCACCTTCACGCCCAAGTCCGGACAAGTTCATATCGAGATTAAGTTTGAAAGCGGAGAACATGGAGACGGAGATCCCTTCGATGGTCCTGGCGGTACCTTGGCTCATGCGTATTTCCCCGTAAGTTTCAAATAGTCTGCTTGCTTGTAAGTATAAGCTTTGACGCTTTGCACTTGTAAATCAGCTTCGCTTGCATGATTTCTGTACACTCGTTACAAAGTCGATTGTTAATACAAGAACTTTTGGGTACCGACTCCTGATGCTTGCAAAAGCCAAGTTACTAAATTTTCTTCTAGATTTAAGAAGTTAAAGTGACTCTTTGCTTATTTCATATCTTCACTGAAGTTCCCCTCGGTAAGTAAGAACACATCTCAGAAAATTTATTTCTTCTTGTAACTCTCCACCCTATACCATTACTAAAACATAAATCCTAATACTTCCATTTATCGCTACTGCGAATTGTAAATGGCATCGTCAATTCTGCCACGGCGAAGTAATGGCATGGTTGAATTAACAATTAGAATCGCATGGTAAACACATAAACGACTTTTCATGCACTTTTCGGGGGAAAATAGCCTCAGGAACAGCAATACATACGGGCACAGTCAATCGGTGTAGGTCATCAGCACGACATATGGTACAACCCATTTAAGCCATGGTACATACCTTACACACCCACATACTATCCCGTTCATCCTGGAAAAGTAAGTGTTACATGTTTGGGTATTGATGTATAAGTAAGTAACCTAAAACATATTTTGTACTAACAAACAAAATAGTCACAGTGTAAAAGGTTAAAAATTGTTTGAAATTAAAAAAAAAATGTTTTGTGTTGGCTATGGTACCCTAAAAAAAAACTTGGTGATCTGCGGTGGTAAGCCAAAAGTTGAAATCATGTAACACCGAGCTCACACCGACACCAATATTTTAGGTATTTGGTGGGGATGCCCATTTTGACGCGTCGGAATCGTGGTCCATAAACAGCTACAGAGGTACCAACTTATTCCAAGTGGCCGCACACGAGTTCGGCCACTCGTTAGGCTTGAGTCACTCTGATATTAGACAAGCTCTCATGGCGCCGTTTTATAGGGGTTACGACCCCGTTTTCAGCTTGGACCAAGACGATATCGACGGTATCCAAGCTTTATACGGAAAGAAAACGAAAAAGAGCACACCGTCTTACGACCAGGATGGTGATACCGGTGAAAGTCAGAACGTTCCTAAGAAAACACCGCCTCCGTCGGGTAAGTCTTGGCTAAGCAAATCGTTCATTCATTCTTTTCTATCTGTAATGCATCCCTGTCCTTTTTGGTCAACGTGCTGTATTCAGACCTTTCGATTCACGGCGTCAATCCCTTCCCTCTTTTATGAAGAGTTCATTGGATAGCGTCCGTAGTCATGATTGCTTTCTCCCTTATTGGTGCGCTGTTGTTAGAATTTCTTCATTTACTATAAGTATTGTTCGTCGACAATGCTCAGAATATTAAGGTCTCATTGACGACATTTTTAAAATAAAAGATAAAGTTTAGTTTTATGGGATTACAGCAGAGCTTGCGATACTCTTCTATAAAAAAACTTGCTTGGTTTAGATTTGGCGCAGAAGCTGTTTTCTTAATTTAGGACAATTGAAATTTATTTAAAATTGAATTATCGAGACCTAAATACGGGGAGTGCCCATACATAGTAGATACGCGTACTTCTTGGTTTTGAGTAAATTGAAATGTAATTTGTATCAAAGCATAGAATTTTTCTCTAATAATGAAACTTTAGTAGTCTCCATCAAAATCTACTTATAACTTAAAGAAGTTCGGTCATATTTCGGGAAATTTCACTCGTAGTAAGTGGCGTAATCTCAAAGGCCGATATTGAGTTCAGTTCTTTACATTAATCTCTTCTTTTTCTTCTTACATTAAGACAAAGACCTGTTAATGGTTTCGTATGAGCAGTTCCAATGCTAAAGACCAAGACATCCTATATTTTACCACTCCTTACTACTGCTATATCTTCACACTTCCCTTATTTCTTCACTGCTCCTCAGTTACATTAAAATTTATGCTTTTATTGATTTTAGTGTTCGCATTTCTCTTTTCCTTAGAAGTAGTTTAGTGCTGTTGTTCTCTGTGGTTTCTATCTTAGAAACCCTAATTATGATATTGATCTCTGCTGTCTGAATTTTTACTCCGTCCTTTAAATTCATATTCCTTATTATGTATGTCCCTCTATATTTGAACGATTTTCAATTGCTAATTTACATCTTCTCGGTTCTTAGATATTCTACTTCGTTGCGGATATTTGCATGTTAAACGCTTTTATTCTATTTGTTAGAATTTGTACATTAGCCTTGATCACTGATCTTTATTTGCCCTGTGGTCTTTTCTCCCAGTTGGCTTTACTTCACTCATGAAGTTAAAAGGAGAATTGAGCTGAAGCTGCCTCCCTGTTGATCCCAGACACACAGACACAGATAGTTTATTACTTATTTTATTTGCCGTTCTCAAATATGTTTATTTCTATGTTTTTAGCTCTTCTAGGACTTTTTTTTATTAGTATATGGTATCAACAACAGACTTTTTAATTTTTTTTAACCCTTCATGTTCTTCGCAAATCCCGGGTATCATTACTTCTTCTGCTTATCAGTATGACAGTGGTCTATAAATATTAAAAACCATACATTATGTTCAATCGCAATGTAGTCCGATACTGTTGAAACATTTACTGGTCAGTAACAGAAAATTTCTATCTACATCAATATTTCTATATTCCTGTATTATATATTTTCTATTTTCCTATATTAACTTACATATACGTAGCCCTCTTTTTTTACAAAATTACATATTATAATAAGATGCTCTCAATTTAGTCAAAACTATCTGCCGAGCCATTTATTCAGATTGTGTCTATGACGCAGCGCTTTTCGAACAATATTACCTACGCTGATATAAGAGTGTGTTTTCTTTTTTAGTTGGAAGTACTACTGATAGCAGTCTGTGTGAAGATTCCAAGTTCGACACCATATTCAATTCCGCGGAGGGCTACACCTACGTGTTCAAAGGTGATAAATACTGGAGACTCACCGAAGAGAGCATAGCGCCAGGATACCCGAAGAAAATCTCAGAAGGGTGGCCCGGACTTACCGGCAAAATCGACGCGGCTTTCACGTACAAAAACGGCAAGACCTACTTCTTCAAAGGATCCAAGTACTGGAGGTGACGACATAGGAAAACAGGAAATCTCGACCCGAGTTTGCAAAGACTCCAATTTCAGGTACAAGGGAAGAAGTATGGACGGCGTGTACCCTAAAGAAATCTCCGAGGGATTCACTGGGATACCCAACGATCTAGACGCGGCCATGGTGTGGAGCGGCAACGGGAAGATTTACTTCTACAAGGGCAGCAAATTCTGGCGGTTCGATCCGACTCAGAGGCCGGCCGTGAAAAATACTTATCCGAAATTGATCTCCAACTGGGAAGGTGTTCCCGATAATTTAGACGCCGCGTTTCAGTGGACCAACGGATACACGTACTTTTACAAAGGAGACGCTTATTATAGGTCAGTCCGAAATGTCCTCGTTCAGGATGAATTGTCAAGGTTTTTTTTCCGGTCCTAGGTTTAATGATAGGGCGTTTGCTGTGGACGCAGTAACACCAGCGTTCCCGAGATCCACGGCGTACTGGTGGTTCGGGTGCAAAGACGCACCCGCGGGAACAATAGGAACGAGTGAGTCGCGGGGATGGTTACTGGGCGACGGAGAGAGCGGTACGCCCTCTATGGACGACTCTAATAACTATGACATGGACGCAGGTAGGACGTCAGAAGAAAATTCGATTTAGAGATCGATTTTGTGTGCGTTTAAATTAATATTAACCGCAATTTTAATTTGTACCTGGTGGCTCACTGCGTACGACCTACAAATAGTATCTGGAGGGTGAATCTATTTGGGTTTACACAGGGGGTTTCAAAAAACATTCCTAAACGCTTGACTGGAGACTCGTAATCTAAAAAAAGAAAAAAAAAGTTCATATAAAAGTATCTAAAAAATCTATTCTCTGTCTATCTATTCTGAATTAACTAGTTGACGTCCTGTGAGATATTTAAATTAATACAATTGTGAAATAGATGTAGACTACTGCCTTTTTTACAATTTTTGTATTTACTTTAAATAAACCACCAAAGTAAAACTTTCTATACTCTTTAGTTGTTTGTGTTTAGTTGTTTTGTTTCGTTTTCGAGAGAAAAAATAAAAATTTTGAATATGGACAGAATTTATTTCAAAAACATTAATAATAATAAAAAAATATGAAATTTACCACAATAATAAATATTGCCGAATCTGCGTTTATATGAATTTTTTTCTTTGATTTTGAATGTTGAATCTCCAGTCGACACTTGGCACATATTTTTTAAGACCCCGTTGTCGATTCCATACGAACTTGGCGACATATTGCTTACGTTAAGAGACGGTTGGATACCATTTAAGTTTTAAATTCCTCCATTTTTAAGAAATTTGTATTTTTACAAAATAAACGTTTCTTTTTCATAGACTCTAAAACTTACTACAAGTACAGGAAATATTGTTTAAGCAAAGCAACATAGAGGGGTTTATTTTGAAAATATCTTATAACAATTTACTCTGCTTTTTGTAGTAAAAACAGTAAATATTAACTTATCGTAATAACACATTTCATGTAATATTTTAAATACTATTCAATATTATTCAATAGTATCTGAATATTTTGCGTTCATAAAGCACAATTTATCTATGTACCAGATATTTTTAAGACCATTGTGAGCCATTGCGTATAAGTTCTTAACTTAAATATGTGTTCATAAATCAGCAGAATTGATGTCTATGTGGTCCAATATTCTTTCATCAACAGCTTGTTCTAGCAATCATACTAATAAAATAACAGTAACTTATCTCTAGTGGTATGAGCTCGCTCTCTCCGTCAAGTACGTATAACTATTATAGTATTGTATGTATTGTATATGGAGATAGAGGAATCAGTTTTCTAACAGCACTTAATATTGTAATTTGCTAACCGCACCGATCCAACTAATCTAATCCACTAAACTAATCCATCCCCCACCATCTTCACCTAGCATTTTGTGTATTTGTTCACATAATTTTTTGCGGCTGTATGTTAAAAGTTGCACGGCTATGGAGTAGAAAAGCCGCCTGGCATGCTGAGTAGATTTGTTTTCGGTGTAATAGACACATTAATAACTCTCACAAGTAGTTCAGAAAGTAAAAGTCCTGTTTAGTTCCTAAATGGCTATGGAAAATTTTGGTTTTCTCTCAAATTCGTTAATAATCATAGCCATCGCTAGTATCTAAACAGCACGAAAAAAAAAAACAAAATATAGCTGCGAAGCTTCGGGGCGAGATATTGCTTTAACGCACATTTTGTAATTATTGCCAGTTTTCAATCGAATACTGCGGCAAATGTTTAACGGACGTCGCTACATTCCAGAGAACTACCGGACGGCTCCCAGAAAGCAGTGAACGAATTGACACACAGTCGCCCAACACACAATTATACCATTTTATAAGTATGTGTACGTCTCTCATTTTTTTTTCGCCTTGTGTTGCAGCCCAGGAATAGTAGATTGCGGGAAAATAGTTAGGGCACAAACGCTATTTTTTCCATTTTCTATTCTTCGGGTTCCAGCCACTTTTCGTTTCATCCTTTTAGTGTTTTTGAGACGGTTTTTTCAAAAACACTAAGAGTGTTATTTAGCTTCAAGCTTTCGTATCCATGTCAGTGATGTTTTCAATTCGGTCCACGGTATTTAGGAAACCGTAAGAGGTGGTGGTAGCCGAAAAAATGAAAATTACCTTCAATTTAGGTCAATTTTGAAAGTAAGAATACAAATCCTATTCCCACTGTTCTTTCATCAAAATCTAAAATTGCTTACTTTGTCTCGATTATCTTCGACAATCGTATTAAATCTGTGGCGCCAGCAGTTCGAAAATTTGAAGTATTGAAGAAAATTTTTTTTTTTTTGCGAAGAGGCAATAATTAAATGTAATTTTATTTAAAGGGTACGTCATTAAAAAGGTAAACTAGCCAACAAATAAAGTATGGGAGTTGGAGAAACATAGTGAGCGATTTTTGATAAGAAGTATGTTGAAGGATCGGGGCCCTACGGGGATTTTTCAGGTTATGTTCGTCTGAACCCCCTTTCGTTATCTACTTCAAAGGACTGTTTTCCGTATCAACTTAGTGATAAACGTTGCCTCAACTCCTTACGGTTTCCAAAATTTCAATAGCCATGATTGAGTGTCAACATTCCGCAAATTATTTCATTCATTTATTTCCAGTTGCACAAAACTGGTAATATTTAAAGAAAAAGCGTCATTCCTAACCAAAACTTCTGGTCTTTCTCAATTGTGGTGAGATGCCTTTCTAATTATTTATGCCCCGATCATACCTAAAAAGGGCTATAAGAATTTAGGTTTGTGTTTAAAAAGTTTAGTTTTGGTTAGTAGCGCTATTTCATAACCTATAAAGTGATATTGTCATATACGTTCATTACTAATTTTCATTGTATATAAGAAATAAATGATGTTCACTTAGAAGTTTATTGGGAGAATTTCTTTGACTTAAAGTGAAGTTATATACAAATTTCTAATCAATTTTTGGAAATATTACATTACGACGAAGATTTCAACTTTCCAAAAACTGATTAATATTAAATGTTTTACGGAAAATTAGGATTCTGAGAATGATATTGTTGTATTTTGTATGCATGTAGTGATATTTTGTGATTCAAATGCAATCAAATTTATGCCAAGTAAATCATGAAAATTTTTAAAAAAACAGTTAGTTGAGGTTGAGATATGCACTCCGCAAAGTATCGCATAATACATTTTTCAAACCTTAGCAATTGCCGTTTGAGGATTGTATAAAGATTAAATGGTTTCTATCAATTTAATAATTTTTCAACTGTCCTACAAATTTCTTAGGGCTCATAGGTAAATAAATTGATTATAACCTCTAATTACTGCTATTATGACGTCTGGTATCAATTAGTACTTGTATGTAAACATCATTCCCATGCTTCAACTTAGCAAGTTCCAGTTCTAAAAGATTTCTTGCAGCAAATTTTTCATATTTAATTCTAGTAATAGGTTGACATGACCATGAATTCAGCCTCTGCTAGATTTTCAGATTCAATTTTAGCCTCATATGGTACTGCATTATCTTGCATCAATTATGTGGCTCGAAATGTCTCTTATATACCTGTCAGCAGCGATTAGATTGGAACAGGGGTTAAGTCTCATATTATATTCTGAATATCGTTTACCTTCTCCTGTGTAAATTGGTACGCGTAGATCAGAAGCAAAAAACAATAACTTTAGACTGGTCAGTTAAACAAATATAAGCCCAGACGTAAATGGACTCTGGTCAGCCTCAAACGGACCACACGATGTGGTCTGTTACCACTGTTGCCAGTAGTTTGGCTGCGCATTGTTTAATTGTTCGTGAATCTGACAATCCCCTCGAGAAGTGCCTATTGATTTCTTTAGATGACGGTCCTGTAGTTTTATTTAAGCTTCATAAGTATTATGCAAACACGTGCATCATTCCAGGTTTTATGTACCATTTTAAGGATTATGCGATGCTTTCTTTGCGGAGGGTAGATATATTCTCCATACAATACTGCATTATAGAAACGAATTACGTAAATGTTCGGCTTCTTGTAGAACCATATCTAATCTTGCTAAACTTTGCGTTTAGGTGAACACCACGACTACAGCTCCAGTGACCCGTTGGGATACCAGGGAGGAAACTCGGCTGCTGCGTCCAGCTTAGCGTCCGTCATTTTGACGGTCCTAGTGATGTCAACTGCGAAACTGTTAGCTTATATATTATAGGGTCACCGGAACAAGTGAAACGATTTCGTTTTATAAACGAATGGGTTTTAGGAATTAGCAAGCCCTGACTGAGAGACACAAAAAACTAATAAATTACGTGTGATTGTAGATTTTATTTCGGAGATATTGTTCGGTTGGTTTGGTCTCGCATAAACGAACCTATAGATAAAATCGCAACGGTGCTCCATAAACTAATCGAATAAAATTCAAGCAATCTCCTCGTCGTATGTGTTAGGAAACTTTTTTTTGCAATTAGTCTTAGCTTTAAACAGTGTGATCTTCAAGCCACGGTGCCGTTCATCGAGAAGCGCCATTTTGCAAACGAAAACGATTTAAAAGAACCCTTAGTTAGTAGTGAATCTTGAAAACACACAAAAATAAAACGTATTTATTTTGTAATTGTTGTCTAGTTTTAAAGTTGATATTGAGATAACGAACAATTGGCATAAATCAATATTTTTAAAGATATTTTCAATTTTTCGCATGAGCAACTACATCGTATTTTGTACAGTAAAATAGGCGAATTGAATAAAAATTATTTTGTATCTAACATGTGTCTAATTTTTTTTATATTGTGTGATTGTTATAACTATAGAGTTGCTTATACTTGCAAACTAGAACCATTAAAAACGATTTTTTTTAAAGAAAAACGTTGCATATTTTAAAATCTAATATTTTCAAGTCTTCCGTAGAATATAAAAAATCTTATTCAATATCAACCTAATTAAAAATCACATCATCACTTCTGTAACTATATTAAATTTTTTATTGCTCAATATATATTGTATAATATCATAAATATTATACAATGCTCTTCACCACCTATAGAGAAATTATATGTATAAAAAAAGTGTATCACAAAATGTGCCAAAACGTATTGAACAAATTTTTTGTTTTTATGTCGTAAAATCCAAGGCAAGTTGGTAAATATATTTATCCATGTACTGGGCGTTCCATTTTTAAAAACTGAATTAATTAATTAACTAATTTAATCGAATTCGTTTGCCTAACAATAGCAAAGTTAGCGATAGTGCAAACTTTATTTGATATAGGGTTATATAACATCAAATATAAGAGAAATAATGGAAAAGCTCATTAATATACGTCGGCACAAGGCACTATTTGTCAGTTGGCTATTAGCTGCGAATTGTCAATTATTCTGTGGTTCTTAATTAACATTTGGTCACTATACCGTAATACAGATTTCAAGGCAGTTGCGAGCTTTAATTAAAAATAAATTAGAAATAATTTTTAATTATGATACATAGATTCAAAAATAAAATACCAATATATTAATCCTCAGCATGTAGCAAGAATTCTTAACCATTTTGTTATAATTCAATGATTCCAAGGTGTACCAGGAGGCCCATTCATAAAGGCCGTTCAGGAACCGTTAATCCTACAACTTAGGAAAATAATGTTTATAGGGAAATCGACCAAGAGAAAAAGCAGCAAATTATTTTCAAGTTCATAAAATGGTCGCAAGGGGGCGCAACCTCTACCGTAAAATAGAAAAAACCGGGTTTTCTCAAAATTTTTCCAAATTAACCTATATCAAAATTAGTTATACTCTAGATAAGGAAACTTTTTTCTTTGAACTATTTTTTTCTATCTCTTCAAATTAAGAGTGGGGGAAGGCTCATATATGGTTTAGAAAAAGTTGAATAACTTTTTTTTGGCTAATTCGATTTCGACGAACTTAGTTTAATTTTAAAGAGTATTTATAGGCGCCTTTGTCCAAAATTTCAAATATTATGGTACAAAATTTTTAGGTAGGATTAAAGAACGTAAAAAAACGCAGCAAGTAGTGCAAACAGTATGGCATAATAATTTTTTACCCTTCGAGGTATTAAAAAAATGGGTTTATTAAACATACGTGTTTAGTGTGAGGTTTTGTTTGAATTAATTGTATATTATGCAACAAGTGCGGTAAACGGCATTTGACGCGAGCGGAGCGCAGCGGAGCAAGTGTTTAATAAACGAGTGACTTAAAAAGTTTACCGAACGTATTGCATACTATACTTTTTCTACGACCGTTAGTTTTTGGGTACATTTTCGCAAAACAACACGAATACATTCACTGACATGACCGTCAGAATTGACAAACGTCAAAATTCAAAGCGTGGGAAATATCTCCGAAAACTCGGTCCCAAACTCGTGCGGCAAAACCGCGGAAATATCCGAAGTGGCTCGGTTACGTGAGAAACGAAACTGACGTCGTAAAGTGACGCTTCTCGCACGCTAAATCGATGTGTAATTAGATATTTTACAGACGGGAGTAGAAAAAATAAGTTTATAAAATTCATGGCATTACAAATCATAAACCAGAGAGGACTTCAATTTTTATGGAACCCAGCCCAAACATCAATTTATTGAGTTATTTTCTGAATAATTTTTTCTAACCTAATTTCCTCTCAATTATATTTCCTATATAAAATAAAATAGTATCGAGCCTTTGCTATAAATTATCATCCCGTTTCCACTACTTGCTGTGTTTTTTTACGCTCTTTCATATTAGCTAAAAATATTTATACCATTATATTTAAAATTTTCGAAAAAATCAAAAAAATAGCTGGTTTTGACATGAAGCGCCTCCTACCGACTCGTAAAGGAATTAATATCGTGATATTGACATGCTAACTAAGTTCGACACGAACTTAGTTACTAAGTTCGAGACGAAATATAAAAAAATAATTTAAACAAAATTGTTTTCTTATCTAAAGCTTTTTCTCTTGGCTAATTTACTTAAAAATATTTTTTTTTAGGACCAACGGGTTTATTAATGGACACCCGGTACTTTATAGCAGGATAGGCGATGTATTTTTGCCGACAATATCCTTTTTGCAAGCGCGACAAATTTTCTGGTATTGTTTAAATAATAACCAGAAATGGGAATTACGTGGCCTTAATAAAGATATTTTTCACAATTCAAAAGCGAAGTGAGTGTATGAAATTTGATTGGTAATTACTGAAACAGTTGACTTTGCTCGTGATTGCGTGAGTAATTTGCCTTGCGAAAATCGGAATAACATCATGAGCCTTCCGTCTTCCTTAGTTTCGCATTTTCGCTTTCAAACTCGTAGAAAAGTTACTCATAACTTTCCAAAACTTTTCCCACTTTTTTTTATCTAATCATGGTTTTGATTATGGAATAACCTGTGGAATAAGTTCAAGGCTCAATAATATATAAAAGTTATAAAACTAGTTATGAATCTGCTAGATATTTAATAGACCACAGTAAAATCACTTTTCAAAAAAAAAACTTTTTAATAAGCTGCTGGGCCGCCTTGTAGTACTTTGCGTGCCCAAATGGGGTTTTATAACTTTAAGGAAAAATAATGCGCTCACCATTTGTCTTTTGTTAGACCTCTGGAACCGCTCTCCCAACTCGAACATTTTCAAAACAGACGGACAACGTTGTTAGATAAAGAGCGAAGTATATAGGGGTGGGCCCTTATGGCAAATTTCATCGGCACTATTTAAGCGTCGCGACCCGACGGCACGTTTCCAGTGCTTCCGTAGGCGTCGAGGCGGAGGTCTCTTATTGGAGATTGAGTGTTCCGTGTGCGTATTTTTCTCAATAGCCGAAATTGCCGTCGAAGAACATTTCAGAACTTTCGACGACCCATTTGCGTACGTTTTTATTTATAATTTCCTTTAGGGTAGATTTTTTGTCATTACTTTCGTCAGAAATGTTGCATGAGTTTATCGTATTCTGAATTATTTAATATATATTTTAAATCCTTCATGACAACTGAAAATTTTTTGATGGTTAAGTACTGGAAATCGAAAAAAAAAGTAGAACATTTTAAAATATTTTTTCAGAACTGAAGCACTTTAATTGTGTGTGGAAATACTATGCATAATTAGACAATAAATCAAGAAAAATCAACTTCACATGTTTTTAGTTTATTACTTTTTTGTGGTTACCTTTTGCATTTTCAAATGGATTTTTTGTATTGTTATGACCATGCATTGAAGAGGTTTTCATTTTTTTAAAGCAAAATCCATATATCGGATTGAAAAAACTCAAGAAATTAAATTTCTTTAGAAGTGATTGAGGATTGTAACAACAATTTTTATTTTAAGAGAAATCAGTGGTGTATCATCAATGTCTGCCAAAATAAGCAGGTGAAATTCCGCACGCCCGCCACTGGTGTATTTAAAAAAATGTATTAGACTAAACAATACTTCCCAAATTTCATTAAAATATCTAAAGTGGTATTACCGATATTAAAAAATATATATTATTTTTGAAAACTGTACCTTAAAAGTTAAGTCGTATAGAGTATAGGACACATGTTTATATGAAGTTTTCCTTTTTAAAATGGACCCAAAAATCGCCTCCATACTTATTAAGATTCAATTAGAAAACATAATTCCGTAAAGGAAATATGTAATTCTAAAATAAATGAATATACAAAATGTGGTTTTCACAAAAATCTTAATTGAAGTGATGAAGGAAAGTTGAACAAACTTAACTTTAATTTTGTCTAAAATTTAAAAATGAAAAATATGCCAGCGAACTGGACCTATAATATAGAAATGTAAAGTAATTGATACTGCTGATTTTTATTATAAATATCCCTCTGCGATTTTGTTGCCTTGTGACATTCCTCGATAAAGGGCAAAGAAGCCGACAAATATCTCTAATTCCTACAGCCTTGCCCTTACCCGAGGCGTCAGAAATTTCAGACGACTGAAACAAAAAGTCGAACCACTCCAGATGAAATAAAGCGAACGGTCAAATCGCGGGAGGCGTATTTCAATTGGATTTCGCGGCACATCAAATTAAAGTTCCAATCGAATCAATACATATTTTGCAGTTGCTCCCTTGTTTTGTCTGACGACAGAGTTCAGGAAGTAAATCGAATTTGGGATCGACGGAGACATATAAAATGAAAACGCCATACTCAAAAGAAAACTGCGAACGTTAAAAAGTCGGAAATTATTTGCGATTGCACACAGCAGGACTTATAATGGATTGGGATTGATTTTTTTCTGGTCAAAAGGTTATCATTGTTGCTAACTTGTTGCTCACTAAAAATGGCAACTTGTAACCATTATAATGAATGGTGATGAATAATAAAAAAGTTTAACAAGTATATAAAAGCATATAAATCCAAATACAATAAAAAAAACTAAAGAAGGAAAACATATCGTTTATATAAGTATTATATTTCAATTTCTGATATTGTATATTTAGTTAACATACAAAAGCGGAAGTAGAAAACTGAAATAAAGATTCGTAGAAACACAGTTAGAAAGTGGTTAATCATGATGATTTATCGTAATTTTTGATTTTCATTACATCCCCCCTCCAATTACTTGACTTTTGTAAATGGTGTAACAGTTCTAGTGATAATCACAGTTATATCCATGAATGAACTTTTATTTGCATTTTTAATTCGCACACCCAGTGCTGAGACTACTTTGGACAAAGATCTTTGCTTTAAGGCATAGTTTACTATTGGGATAGTATGAGTTAAACGTTTTTTGCTGTGCTGCTGCATTTTCAACTCTTACTGACTACATGTTCTTTCGTTTATCAAAAAATGTGAAATAATTTGGACACCGTGGACAATAACCTCTACTAACCAACCCAAAACGTGTGTACGGTGCCAGTGTACTGCTAACATTGTAAGAAGTTACAAAAAAAAATCTTTGCAATAACCATTAAAATTATCAATAAATGCTCACTTACACGGATTTTCTATTTTAAGTGATTTGTATACTTATTAGTTATTTTATTATTTAGTAAAATTCACGTTCCTGTTTTCTTAGGTAAAAATTTTATTATACAAAATTGTGATCCGCAAATATAGCAAAGCTGAGGTATGGTCTTGAGGAACGAGGCCCAAAAAATTTTCACAAATAATTTGCATAATAATTAACGCGCGCGGTCGAAATAATAAAGAAAAACTTTTCCAATTTTCCGTACTGATAAAACGCGCAATCTTCAAAGAGTGAATTGCACGCCTCTGGCAGCTTCTTAAATTAAACCACCCTTCTCGCTACTGAAAAGGGTGCATTTCAAATAGACAAACGGAATATGATTTAAACTGAACCGTCTAAGATAGACCCAAAAGTCGATCGTTAGTCCCAATAGGCGAGGCGTTTTTAGACTTTTATTGATACCTTTCGGTAAAACGGGCAGGAATTTTGGTAGCTGAGAAGTTCCATTTCCATTTCTCTTTAACACCAATGCTCAACAAAAACCATTTATTAAAATTTCATATGTTTTTGTGTTGTTTTATTCTCAAAAAAATACACTTGTTATACTCTTAAAACAGTTTTCAAACCAAATGAACCTTTAAGTTCACATTGTTAAAAGTTTGATAAATATTTAAAAAAACGAGTTTGATACGAGACCTCTACCGAGAAGTAGACCAAAAAATTTGTAAATGTATTGCAGGACAAAGTAAAGTTTCATTTAAAATATGAGTTCGTTCCAGATGATTGATCGACACTGCATAGGGAAAGTGTTTTATTCCACTGTTGTTAAAAAACCATCAACCTAAAAATATAATTACAAAGCAAAATCTCAATTAAGAAGAATGACCACCGAAGCATTTTCTTTATCTGCTTTTAGAATTACTTCACTTCATACATTAACTAACCAAAAGGTGTATATAACGTTAAATAATAAGGGGCTTAGTGAGTCTCCTTGCCTAATACCTGTAGTTACATAGTTTCAATTATTTTATTTATTTTGTATATATTTTCGATTAGTTTTATTATATCAAATGAGATATTTCTGGGATAAAGTGTATGTAGCTGCACTCTATCAAATGCTTTTTCTAAGTCTATGAAGCATAAGAAAATTGGCCGTATTCCCTTCCAGTGCAAAAAAACTGTAACTCGGCCTTTTTCCATAAAATGTTGGTATTCTGCTCCCGCCGCGGCACCCGGAAGATGCTTACTGGAAAAACGGATTATGCCGATCGAAAGGGGAGTCGAAAAAAAGGAGACGATATTCCTCTCGGGAGAATCGTCGTATTTCGGGTCCCGTGTAGCTTCAAAAATTTATGTTAAAAAATGTAGGTTAGTTCCGTTTTGATATGCCTGCGACGAAATTTCATCGGCGTGTGCCATAAGTGGAATCGCGGAAGTCCGAGACCGGAAAGGTCCGCACGATGGGCTCCAATTCTTGGCCCTAATTCGAATTTTTCATATCCGAGGAAACTTCGCGTCGTGTAAAATTTTGTGATTTATTAAGTCAGTTTTCGGAAAATCCGATAGAGGACCCATTCCGCGGGTTCAGTAACGTCACTTACGAGACACTTACAAAAATTGCTAATTTTCCTAATAAACTCCATGTCGTAACTAAAGGATCTTTGAAATCTACCAGAATGGTGAAGAGGAATAATTACAAAATTTTCAAAGAAACTTCCACAAGCTCAGTAATCCAGAGGAACTCAGAAGTTTTGTGAAAAAAGAAAAGATATGATCATTGTTGTCGACCAACCGAATCATGTACCATTAACTGGGGCATACGAATTTATCACTAATCATATTGTCTTACACGTTACATAATAGGTCTTCTCAGACCTATATTATCAATTCCATGGTGACACTTTTTTTATTAATAACTGTAGGACACCAATAAAAAATTATAGTTTATCCTATTTTACGGCTAAATAAAATAGTGTCATACAAAAAAAAATGATATGATCATTTAGCGGGGCATACGAATTTATTACTGACCAGCTAATTTTTATATCCAAGCTTAATTAATAATAGTACAATTAAGTGGTTATATTGCCTACAAGTTACATAATAGGTCTTCTCAGATATACATTTGAAAATTGCCAATTCCACTTTTTTTATTACTAACTGCAGCACGTACGTACGTACGTAGGATGCCGTAAATAATACGTTGAGAAGAGCAGTGATTAAAGAAGGAGGGAACAAGAGCATCGCATAATGTTTTTTAAGATTTCAAGTTAGAAAATTCCCTGAGCTATACCAACCTTCTAGACCACCAACAGCCAAATTTTTTGCTTCGTTGCACCGTGTTTTTGACCCCTTTCGTTTACATCTCGAATGTCAAAATATTAACAGTGACCTTGAACAGAATTTCTAAAGATTTGTTTGTTCTTTACTCCGAGAAAAATTTACGGTAATGTCTTGCTTCTGAAGTATTTATAACAATAGGCCATTAGAAAACGAAGCCAAAAATTTGGGGTTACTTTTAGACACAAAACTTTGCTTTGAAAAACACATCTCAGCTTGTACACAAAGGGCTGTTGGTCGTATAGAAGGTTTGAATAGCTCAGGGCATTTTCTAACTAGACATCTTAAAAAACATTATGCGATGCGAACTTCTGGAAAAAAATTTTCTTTACCTCTTTCGAGCCTGGTTACCAAATTCAGAAATCCAGACGAAAGTACTTAATCATGAAAATGTTAGTTTAGATTTTGTTAATGTCAGAAAATAAAAAAAAATAATTTCCTAAGGCCCAATGCAATTGTACCTATAATAACATTTCTAGGTTCTGTATGTTTTAATTAATTTGTTTATCATTTCACATTTTATTTAATTTTTAGTTGAAAGTTAGATGAGTTCATTAGATTAAAGGCTATTTGCAGCAGAAAGTTAACTACCCTTAAAAAGTCATCTTTCAAGCTCA